TATTAAAGGTAATAACTTTTTATTAGCTTCTCAGTTGATTTCTAGATGCCAAGTGCTAAGTTTGTTATCACAAATTCAATATCACAAGTGCTTATATCATGAGTGTTATAACTAAATTTGTTACCTTGTTATTTTTATCTTCAATTGTATTTTCATTTTTAATTAAAAATGTTGAAAATGCAACATTAGTTCATTCATTTAATTTAGGGGCTGTTAACGATTCGACTATTTTCATTAAAACAATTTCATTGTATTCTTATGCACAAACACATTATGTTGTGTTGAAAGTTGAGACTGACATTGGCTTGGAAATTGCTACTTCATTGGTAACTCCTAATTCAACTAATTAATCATTTTTTATTTTACTTTTAATTTAATTATTTTTACATTTATTTTTTAATTATATTTAATCATTTATAAGCTTTTTATTTTTATTTTTATTTACAATTAATCATTTATTTGCTGTATTCTTTATATTAATATACTCAATAAATAATTTTTTGAAAAATTAATCCAGAAAATATTTGTTTTTATTTTTTACAATTTAACATATTGTGGCTATTAAAGGTGATAACTTTTTATTATCTTCTCAGTTGATTTCTAGATGCCAAGTGTTTAGTTTGTTGTCACAAATTCAATATCACAAGTGCTTATATCATGAGTGTTATAACTAAATTTGTTGCCTTGTTATTTTTATCTTCAATTGTATTTTCATTTTTAATTAAAGATGTTGAAAATGCAACATTAGTTCATTCATTTAATTTAGGGGCTGTTAACGATTCGACTATTTTCATTAAAACAATTTCATTGTATTCTTATGCACAAACACATTATGTTGTGTTGAAAGTTGAGACAAAAGACTACCATTGGGTTCCGCATGCTACAGATTTATTTCCAGATTTATATTTGTTGGAAGCCACGAGGAAAACTCAAAATGAAATAGCTTTGATGGAAAATGAATACAAAACGTTATACACTTTCATTGCAGGAACGAGTGATTTTACCACAAATGAAACCAGATTCAAACCTGGTCATTCATACACTGATGACTTAGGCAGGCCTACACATTTTCGTATATTTGGTGGCTCATATTTTATTGATTCATCGTTTTATTCAAACCCCTTTCGTCTGTTAATTTCAAGAGTCGATTATACAAATGCGTCAAATTGGAAGATTAAAACCATGTATTTTAATGAGGATGAGTACAACCATATGATTGTTAAATCAAACGATCTATTTGCGGCTGGAAATTTATAATTATATATTGGCTGTGTGAAATTATTTTTACGTTTGTTTTTAACTACATTTAATCGTTCATTGGTTAAATTAGGTTAAGTTAAAAATAGCAAATACTTATTCACAAGCAGCGACTACTTTATCACCGACAACGACTACTCCATCACCGGCAGCGACTATTTCATCACCGGCAGAGACTACCCCATCACCGGCAGCGACTACTCCAACACCGGCTGCGACTACTCCTTCACCGGCAGAGACTACTCCATCACCGGCAGCGACTAATCCATCCCCGGCAGCGACTACTCCATCATCGGCAGCGACTACTCCATCACCGGCAGCGACTACTCCATCACAGGCAGCGACTACTTCATCACCGGCAGCGACTACTCCATCACCGGCAGCTAAATTTGCACCGTAGTGGTATCGGTGTTGGCGCTGTCCCACGCGCCACTGTTGTGGGAACGCCCCCTACACGCCCCTTTATTCAGAAACGCCCACCTCCCACTTATACAAATGGCTACCGTCACTATGTGTTTTCATATGCGTACGCGCAGTCATGTCTTTTTAGATGCGTGCGCAAAAGCTTTATAGAGCTTTTATGCCATTTTTGTCATTCTTTGTTCAGTTTTTGTTCAATACACTTCAAAACAGTATTTGTGTTTAAATTTACTTTTAAATTTAATTATAATTAAAATGGCTCGAAAACCAATGATTTTGTTAAGTGATTCTTCGAGTGATTCTTCTGCTGAGCCTATGGACACGACACCAGTCCAGCAGCCGCAACCCATCACCGAACCGGCCGGCAATAATCCATCAGCCATTTTCTTTCTGGATAAATGGTATCAACGAATGCTTTCACTTCAAACACCCGATATTGAAGTGATTGAAGTGATTACTCCAACACAAGCAGCGACTACTCCATCACAGGCAGTGACCAGTCCATCACCGACAGCGACCACTCCATCACCGGCAGCAACTACTCTATCCCAGGCAACGACTACTCCATCACAGGCAGCGACTACTCCGTCACCGGCAGCGACTACTCCGTCACCGGCAGCGACTAATCCATCACCGGCAGCGGCTAATCCATCACCGGCAGTGACTACTCCAACACCGGCAGCGACCACTCCATCGGCAGCAGAGGACAACATACCGATTGCTGGACCTTCAAAGCGCAGATTCTACGGCAATATCGTTGGCGCTCTAAAAAGTAAGCCTAAAATGCGTTTATTGAGCGACTCTGAAGATGATAGCGTTGGTAGTGCTAAGCGCGCAAAGATGGACGACTCTCAGTCAACAGAGCCTATAGTTCGCGCTATAAGCCCAGAGTTCACTGACTCGTACATGGATTGCTTCAATGCATCTCCAGTACAGTGCAGTACTCCAGTACAGGACGGGTTTATAGCTGATAGGCTTAGACCGCGGCAAGTGATGGACTATTATGTCCAAGAAGATTCACTGCCAGTTGATCCGGAAGACCTCATCGAAGTTCATCCAAGGCACTGGTGGTCAAATAACTTTCATCCAGGAATGGGAAATGTGGACGAGATTATCGAAAACTCCACTACACTCTGGTATATGGATGACTCGGGTATGGCATTCATGGTTGGATATGAAGACGACTCTGGTTTTGAAAACATTTAATTAATTTATTTATAAATTTTTTGTAATGAATTAACTTTTTTAATCATTTGAAAAATATAAATAAATAAAATTATTTGAATTTAAAATTAAAAAACTTTCATTTATTTATATACTGTTCATACCCCCTTCCTTCCCCCGCCCGTCATCGACTCTTGGTTAGAGATCCCTACTACGCATGCGCGTGCTTCAATCGGTGCTCTTCTACTCATTATAATTAATAATAAATCGACAGATAATTGCATTCATTATACTATTTCTCGCCTTCAATATTGAAGGAAAGGTTATTTATTGATCGAATTAATGCTATTTTATTTAAATTTTAAACACTTAATCCTTAAACGTCTGATAATTTGGTTAAAATACAAATATAATAAAGCGTTTTCTTTGTGATTAATTATCACACAATTCTCTGCGGCTAAACATGTATTTGGAAACGCTTTAAATGCCGAAAATGAATGCAAATATCAATATAAATATTTATTTTGGAAAAGTTTTTTGTCGATTTTTTGGTGTCATTTGTTGTTTCCATGCCTTCCCTATATATCCCTTGAACTCATTTTTATAGATTTAAATAATATTTGTTGTAATTTTCGTTATAACTCCTAATTTGAAAATTTTTATAAATTTTTACACAAAAACAAAGTTAACGACAAGAAAACAAGAAACATAGGATAAAAAGTCTTACCGATAGCACCGGGAAGTATAGAACCTGTTTCTGTAAAGCGGGACAATATTTTGCTGACACATCCGTGCGATACCAGCAGTTGTCGGGATATATCGCACGGCCGGTAACCGCAAAGAGCCATCTCAAGAATCCGTAGCCTTATATGAAAGGGTAAGGGTTTGCCATTAGAGAAGACACCACCCAATTGGTTGACACCGGCCTGAGAGTGCGGACACTGTTGACTCGCAACCGATCCGTGCATTTCATTTATATGAATATTAGACGACATCTCCAAATATCAGATATGTTGCCAATAATTGTTTAAATGAGACAAATCTTTTTTATTCCCAATTTGTATGTCTGTCCAAAACTTTTATTTCAATAGCATTTGAGTGAATGTTTAGTGTCTGTGCTTTAAATAGTGGCTCATGTTATGTATGAGAGAGTGTTAGTGAGAGTCGGGTGTGAATATCGACAGGTGAAGGAGCCGTTCAAAAGATTGGGTGAGCGGACAATAAGTAAAAACCATTGCATCAAATGGTCATTTAATTTCATCTCTATTTCCTTAATTTCCTGCTTTAGTATTGCTTTCGATTGATAGCTAAAGCATAATAAAAGAGGCATTGGTTAGGATTGTTAGGACTGTTAGGCACTGGAAAACTCATACAACTATATGTCATATATATCGCTAAATCTGTGGATTTTCGTCAACAAAAGGGAAGTTACAAATAATAGGATACAAAAAAGAGAGTCCACTCTTTGGGTGTTTTTGTTAGCCGATTACCAGCGCTTTTGAGGACATTTTTATCGCTTCTAATGTACAATATATACAATCTGTTAATACAATTGATTCAAAGATTTATTTATTTGTCGTTAAATTTATTGTAACATTTAGTGCCGAAACCATAATTATGTCACTTTTCATGTAATTTGCTTGCATTTAAATGCACTGATAATGTGCTTAACAAAAACACCACTAATTCTTGACGTTAATTAAGTCGAAAGCAAAAAAGATATAAACAAAAATAAAATATTTGTTTGTCTTCACGTTTACAATATATTTTCACTTATGTCTCGAGTGTTAAATAAATAGCAATCAGTTTTAAGTTCTAATAGGAATTAAATAATACATATTCTTGTCATTCAATTGAAATTATTTTTCTTTTATTAATTACTAAATAAGATCTCAATTCGTTGTATAATATGTTTATATAAATTACAATTTATTTCGGGAGTGAAAAATTGATTCCCAAAATAACTAAATTTGTTTATATAATTAAAATTAATGAAATCCATGAATATTTTTGTTGATAGACTTCAAACTCGTTCATTTTTAAAAATGTGTATAAATTATAATTATTATAACTTATAAAACATTCAATTCGTGTATCTTTTATCGACAGGAAATTGGAGTAAAAAATTAAAAATAAAATAATATAAAAACAATATCGTTGTATAGTTTAAGCGTTTGATAGCAAATAAAAAATTAATGATAATAATAATTATAATTAACTGTTTAACGGATGACATTCAAGTGAGAGAGAAATATATATAATTCATTAAATGTGTAGTCATTTTACAAAACCTAAGGCCGTATTTGAATAATATTTGTATAAATTGTAAAATACTGTATATATTCTGTCTGTATATTGCAATATATCATGAAATATGTAGTTTTGGCAGTTTATTATCGCATTATTCATATTCATTGTGATTTTGTTTGAGACCTGTTTGAGGCCACGGCCACCATATTTTTGTGAACAGATATGTCGGTTACCAATCATTTAGTTAAATGGCAGTCATTATGAGATTTTGTTTGTTTTTCTTATTTTTCATTTCGCTTTATATTAAAATGTGTTTCGTTTTGTTTGATACCATTATTTGCAATATTATGTTCCGATTCTTTTCAATATTTTACTCAATTAGAAATTATAATTATAAGTCACTAAAAGAGGTGATACCCCCTCCGGGCGAGTGGAGGGTCAGGGGTCAGGCGTGGACCTGCACTTGTTTAGTGCCGACCACATCAATGAGCTGTCGGGAGTGGAACACCACGACTATAGTCCGAGGACCGGGTCTTTGGGGCACAAATCTTAGCGAGTGTTGAATGGATTCTCCGGGCTGTATGTCTCTGAACTTGATTTGCATGGGACGGGTAATGCCCGGACCCTCCACTGTAAAGGCGCACTCCTGTAGCACCCGATTGATGGGATTCGTGAGCTGTATCTCGAGTCCGTACTCCCGGCCGACGACAATCTCTCCGCGCGTAACGATAGTGAGCTGAGGCTTCTCGATAGTGAAGTCGTCCTCTTCAGACCACGTCTGTTGAGTCTCCTTCACGGTTGCGATCGCATAGATCTTCATCATTGAATAGTCCACCAGTTTGTCGATATAGTCGTCGGAATTGACACGAATTCTGAACACATCCTCTGTTTTATTACATACAAAATCAAACAAAATTAATATTTTGTTATTTAGTTTAAAGTTTGAATTGTGATTACAATATGAAAATATGTTCAATATTTAGTTATGTGACAGTAATGACAGTTATTGTCAAAATGTTTTCGCTTTTCGTCAAAACAATGAAAATGTGAGAACAATATAAGGAATGTTTGCACCGTTTTCTATGATATGATAGGTTTCTAATGCTATCCTTGAAATGAATACTTAATCTTATATAATGGCCTGAAATGAGAAAATAATACTCTTTTCTATAGCTCTGGGGCTTAAATGGTTATATGAAAAACTGTTTGATTAATTCAATAAACACAATAAAAATTTGTTTATTTAAATATATGAAACGCTACTGAAAATAATTGTAAAAATCTATTACATAATCGCATCGTTTTAAATGGTTTTCTCAATAATTTTCATAATCATTGTGTTTATGTGAGGAACTCGTCATTGAAATGCAATTTAAAAGGATATGTTTGGAGAAAATGTTTAAAAACAATGAAAAAAAGTATAATTATTAATCGATAGCTTGTAATTGAAAATAAATAACAAACAAAAGTTTTGTAAGATCTTAGCTAATAATCTATTTTACATAAATAAACAATTTATACATATTATGCTTGTATTGTATTTGAGATAAATTATTGCTATAATCCATAGACAATTGCCTTCGGATTTTAGATTAGGAAATTTGGGCTAAAAATTAATAAACTTAAAAAATAATGTCCAAATAAAACTAAAAAATATCAAAAACAAAATACACCCAACTTTTACTAAAAATGTTAAAAATCTGCTTTAATTTCCTGTTTATAAAACTTCAAAAAATAAAATAAAATTTAAATAAATCCAAATTAATTCAAACTCAAATAATTTAAAATTAAAAACATTAGTAAATTAAAAATAGGATTGAAATAGAAATGACTTACTTTGATAGGGCTGTAGGACAACGATCTGTCGCTCCTGTTTGATCTTTTTGGCCAAAATGCCGGTCAAGTAGAAGGAGTTGCAGCTCAGGGAGAGAGTGACGGTCCGAATACTGCCCACTCTGTTAGTCATCTCCACCTGAATGTAAAACGGGTTTCCGATCACTACTTTCTCGATGTCCAGCAAATCAAACTCTAAGTCCTCTTTTCCCGGCGCCGGCAACTCAAATAGAAAAGACAGTCCAGCGCCTAAATCACACCATATGTTTGCAATTAGTTATATATTTCAATGATTATTCATTTATAAAATCTGATAATAATATAATTAAAAGTAGTGTTTATAATGTATTAATTGAATGCAAATTATGAGCCAACCTTTGGCAGCGTTGAGAACAGCCATCCGTTCCTCTTCAGTGCCTTCTTTGAATTTATAGAGAGAAGTGATGTCTTCGGCATCAGAAATACCCCCGTAATCACTATCGACGCCAACTCTCTTAGTAAATAATTTACGGCCGACACTAAGGATAAAGACATTGTTTAATACTTTCGCTTTAGACATGTATTTATAGTTTTCATATTTGATAGAAAAATTGGGTTATTGTTAAAGTATTTGTTGTATGAATTGTGTTATTAGATAAAGAAGAAGAAAGAATTTATGCAGTGATTTGTGTCATATTTTTAGGTATTCTTTGTCTGAGAAAATTTGTATATAATTTCATACGAATTATAAAATTCTTTTGTGAGTGAATAGAAAAAATTGAAGCATTTAATGATATATCGATACAAATGTATGTGAGTTTTGAATGCATATAAGGATCCCATAAATTCAAGACTAGACTGGAGTTAGAGTTCAAGGAAAGTGAGGCACGAGAGAGAGAGAGAGAGAGAGAGAGAGAGA